GCTGGCGCAGGGTAGCAGGAAGCTCTCTGCACACTCCGAGGAAAAAAATTTTAAAGGTGCAAAAACTTCCTCTTCCTCCTACTATAACTTAAACATGATTTTACACAGTATTTGTTATTTTTCCCATTACTGTAAGTAGAATGGAGAGCCTAACAAATAACCTCGAACACAATAGATATCAAGAAAATACACGAATATATTCTTTAGTCTGAAGTAGATCTTTTCATCAAATAACAAGCTTAAAACAGGGCCAGACAAATAGCTCAGCAGATTAAAGCACCTGCACGCAGGCACAGGGGTCAGGGGTTAAATCCCTGGGAATGCTATGCTGGCCCCACCCTGGGGCATAGTGATGAGCACCTATAATCCTAGCTCTTGAGAGGCTGTAAACAGGCGGATCACTGGAGTCTGATCTAGTAGTGAGACCCTGAACACCCTGTAGAGCTTTCCCTTAAATAAACACACACACACACACACACACACACACACACACGAAAAAGCTCAAAACAAAAAGTACCGTCAGAACCCTAAATTTGTAATAACTGAAATGTGACAGTGGTAAAAACAGCAGGTTTCCAAATAAACTTCTTCAGGTGAAACTAGGAAATGTACGTTATGTTGAGAATCGAAGCAGATGCTAAAATGAAAACAGTCACCAAGTTTTCTTCTGATAACGAAATATTACAGAGTAGACAAAATTTCTCAATAATTTCTTACCTACTCGCCATATTCCACTCAAGAGCTGGATTTTGAGAATTCCTTTCACTCTCTGTTAGCACCCCTCCTGCTGCACTTTCTTTCTCTGGTTTTAGTTGATCCCACTGAGCAGTACCAATGTTGATGGACTGCAGATCTATTTGGTATTGTCTATCTTCAATTTCTGATCCAGGATCTCGAAGAATTCCCAAATTCATTGCTCTCCTGTAAAGGAAGTGAAAAAAGGTAACCTGATCAACATTCTACGTTAATTTTGCTCTAATATAGTATCATAAGTTGTTTTTGTTTTTCAGAACTGGAGGTTGAAGCCAAGGTCTTTGAGCTGAGCTATATTTTTTATGATTTATTTGAGAAAGTGTCCAATTAACTTGTTAAATTGCCCAAACTGGGCTCAATCTGGCAATTCACATGCCTCAGCCTCCTAGACCACTGGGATTACAGATATGTGCCATCATGCTCCTTCTGCGGGAAGGAGAAGGAAAAAAAAATCATTTGTTTTGATTACTAATTAATTATGTGAGTTGATTACATCTGCAAGTATTAGATTATAATATATTTTATATAATCTAAAACTTAACTTCTATACTGTAATAACTTTTTACATAATTCCCAGCATTGCACTTTCTAAATACTTATACATGTATGACTTCAACTCTTGACATTCTTTCAGGTTCTCCTATGTTCATTTTTACCAAAGAGAAAAAAATCAGTTAAAAGACAGTCAAGGTGCAAAGCTCATATGTGACAAAACTACAATCTACATTCATGTGTTCCCATGCCCGCCCAAAGCCCCTTTCTGTGGCAATCACCTGCATTCCTCAGAACTGTCTACATTGCTAGGAGATGTGATGATCTATACTTGGGGGGTTTTGTCTCGAATACTTTATGAAAAATAGTTAATCTGAATAGGCTTGTCCCAGGAAGGCAGTTGAGGACAGGGAAGGCAAAGGTAGAAGAAAATTCTCTTGGAATGATTTCAACTTCAAGAATTTTCCCTGATCAGCTCAGAATGGAACGAGAAGGTCATAGCAAAATTTACAACCCATACATGATAGTACACTAAGGCAGCCTTAGTGAGACACAATACGAATGTCAGATGGAAAACACAGAGCCTTAAAGACTCTGAAAACAGTAGGTTGGCAGAAATGAAGTATTAGTATTTAGAAAGTTAAAAAAGCACCCTGGAAGTACAATAAAAATTGTTGTTAGAACCATGTAGAACTATAAGTGAGAATAGAATTACTTAAATATGAAACTCAAGAAGATTAAAATCAGCTGAAGTAATAGTGAACTGAGAGATCTAAAAAAAATCTGAATGCAATTTAAAGAAATATAAATACAAGAGGATTAAGATATATGAAGAATAGAAAAAAATCTTAAAAAGCGTTTAACTGAATTCTCAAGGAAATAATGCACTAAATGGTAAGAAGGTATAATAATACCTCAAGATAATATCTCAAATATTTCTCAAATATTAAAAAATGAAAAATGTGAGATGAGATATCACAAAGAATCCCAAATAAAATAAAAATAAAAAAACTGGCAAATACATGGAAAGCCTAAACAAAAATCCTTAAAAAAGTAATAATGAGGTCCAAATTGAGAGAAAAAAGGAGTAAAAATAAGATAGTGGACAATAACAATATATAAATTAGAGAGCTAGCTAACTGACATAAAATGTTCCTGTATTTTTGTCAGGAAAGGAAAAGGTTCTAATTAAATAACACTTAGGTGCACATGTAAAAAGTTATGTACACATACTAAAACAGCCTCTAAAATAATAGATGTGGAACACAGTTTTAGTGTTGAACAGAAAATATATAATAAACTACAAATAATCCAAGCATCATAATAATTAAGATAAATATAAATGACCTGAAATCTCTGCATTAAAAATTAGATTTAAAAATTTGCAGTTATATTCTAGGTTTTTTTAATGAGACGTAGCTAAAACTTTAGAATATAGAAAATTTGAGTTAAGAGCTATAAAATTATGAACTGGATAAATAGTTGAGCAAAGAAAGCTGACTGTGCCATTAGGTAATATCATCATTAAATAGAGTTACTACCAGAAGACAAAAGATTCAATACAAACAGAAGTTAAAACATTATGTTCTGGCAGTGTAGTTCAGTGGTAGACTGCTTACCTACTCTGCTCAAGACCCTGTGCTTGATTTCCACCACAGGAAAAAAAAGACAATTCTACATTTATTTGTAAAAACAATCTCAAAACATTAAGACAAAACCTGACAGTTCTACAAAAGGAAGAAATTTATCATTTACAGTAGAAAATGTAACCCATTTTCTCTCAGCAAGGGATAAAGCTCTCTCAGCAAGGGATAAAGTAGACAAAAAATAGAAAACTGGAGAAAAAAACCCTAACTTTGATGTCAGAGACATTAATAGAACAAGTGTCTGCCCTCTGGAGGACGTACAGTTTTCTCAAACACATAGGAACAATTATAAAAACTGACCATCTGTTAGGCTATAAAACAAGTCACAACATATTGTAGTGAATTAATATCATATATATTATATCCTAAATTAAGCTATTTTATTAAAGAAGAAATCTTTAAAATGCTTCAAGTTTGGAAATTTAAAAACATACTTCTAAATTAATCACTGGCCAAAATATAATAAACATTTTTAAAAAATGTTTGGTACTAAGGTTATGATATGAAGTTAAAATGGCACACTGTGGGCAATTTGTTTGAAATACTAGTCTTAGCAGATTAAAAAAAAAAAAAAAAAAACCCAAAATCTAAGAGCAAGTTGAATGTGCTGGCACTTGGATAGAGGAGGTGGGAAGATCACTCAGAGTGGGAGGCCACCTTGGGTAAACAGTGAGTTCAAGACCAGCCTGAACCACATAGTGAGATTCAGTCTCAAAAAACAAAAGCAAAATATCATAAAGGATGCATACAGTAAAAATAAGAGAAGGGAACAAAAGCAGAAACTAATGAAATTTTAAAAGATACAACAAAGCCAAAAATAGAGACATCTCCAGCATTTAAGGGAAAACAAAAAAAAAGCTCCAAACAAATATAAAAGTCTACATTAACTATATTTGTAATGTAGGCTGCTGAATTAGATAGAAATATTATAGGAAGTGAGACAAGGCTAGGCCCTCAAAAACAATATGGAAGACAAGGTGACTCTGCAACATTGGAAGAGACAGACACTCCAGTTTTGGGCCAATACAAAGTAACAAATACCTCAATACAAAGTAACAAATGCAGCTACACACTTCCCTAGGAATGGCATCATGGATTGATATTCTAAGTAAGTATCAATCACCTTGAAAGAGCTCAAATGAGTCACTAACCCAACTCACAACAGGAAAAGACCCTGTGCCCTATTCATGCCCACTTGCTATGTTACTGGATTCCTCATTTGGTACTGGATTTAATTAATTTTACTGGGGCAATGGTGCTTAAAGTCAAGGTTAACTATAGTTTTGTCCTACCTCATGTTCACCTAAACAAGTTCCCAAAGTCTCCACCACCATAGACTTGCCTCATCACATGGTTTTACTCTAAAAAAGTCCCTGGATGAGCCAGCTGCCCAGGGGACAACCCACTGGGCCCCCCTTCTGTCCCTCTCAGACAGAAGCTTTCTTTCCTCCAATAAATATTCTGCTCTTAACCTCTGTTTGTTCCTAAAATTCATTCTTTAGTTTTAGAGAACATGAACTCGTTCCAGGTACCGTTCAGATTGGGAGTTTCATTCCCCTATATCAGTAATTCAAGTGAGTACAATGCTGTGAAGATTAGGCATATAATAGGAGGCTACTACGAAGATTCATACAGATAAAGATTTATACTATAATTTATTTTAGAAAAAAAATCTTTCCTGATCTTCAGTGTCCCTACAAATTATTCTTAATACATTTCACCACAGGATTAATATAAAGGCTGCCTACTTTTTTGTTTGATCAAAAATAACATTACGTTTTCTTTTCCAGTTTTATTTCTATATAAAAGTGTCCCTAGTTAAAAAGCTACAGCTGGGTGCAGTGACACATGCTTATAGTTGCCACCAAGGGAAACTTAGAAAGGGCCTGTCTCAAAATAAATAAATGAAAAATAGAAGTTAAAGATTCAGCTATGTAGCTCACTACAAAGGCCCTTTGTAGTGTTTCCAGTACTGAAAACCAAAGTCCAAAAATGTAACACCTTGACAATATAAAACTGCTGTTAACAGGGTAAGTGGTGGAAAAGAACAAAGCTTCCCTAAATTCCTAGCCTCAGGTCTATCAAAACTATGCTTCCTCAAATCAGCCCTTTCTGCAAGGAGCTAACTTGCACTCATTCTACAGCAGTCACTGGCTATTGTCTGTCAGATCTTATGATAGGCCTTAGGGCAGTGGTGGGTGAACTTACTGCATGCGTGTCATAGCAGGTTGTTTGTATCACTGAAAGCTTAAAAGGGTTCACTGGTATATTTTTTGCCCTCATTTGGCATACAGTCTATAGAATTTAGAAGCAATAATAAAAGAAATAATACTACAGAAGACTAAATATAATGTGTAAGTATATCACAGAAGAAAGAAAAAGGCAGTGGTCAAATGAGTTTCAAAAGTTCAGTTCTCTCATTTCAAACACTAAAGTATCTCAGGTAGGGCAACAACAGGTTCAAAACCCCAAAGGTATGACAGTAACACATTCAGAGACAAGTAAGAGGCCCTGAATGGGACAGAGGTAGGAGAAGAAGTAATGCCATAATGCAATGGGTACTTGGAGCCAAAGACAAGTCTTTATAAAATCTTAGAAAGTTTATAAAGTTTAGGAGACTGGCACTAGGCCCAGTCTTTGGGAATAAAAAATATGTGGCCCAGAAATTCACTTGCCTTGCAAACTGGCCATTTACTCTGCCAAATGTCAGAAATTACGTGTAAAACAGTAGTCCAGGGCAAAAAGAAACCTGAGTTTCTCCCTCAGTTATGACACAGAAGTTGTCACATCATAAAAACTTCAATACATGTTAGGAAAAAAAAATCCTATTTTGACCCTTTCATCAGCTTTTGAATAAAATGTTAAATTGAAGTGAAATGACTAGAAAGTGACAAAAAAAGAGTAAGATGAATAAAACACAAACTTAAGACTCAGAAAAACAAAAACAAACCAAGTAGAAACAATACTCAAACTTAATAAAGCAAAATTCACTGCATATTTTATAATTTAATCTGTTTTGTTAGTTAAAAA